TGCTACTTTGTGAAACATATATTATATACCTGGATTAATGCTAAGTGATTTGGTTGCAGTCTCACTTGAACTGCAAATCACACCTGCATTAAAAATAATAGGGGAATCTTGCCTCTAATCAGTACTTAGTTAATTAATTAATTAGTTAAACACTATACTTTAACGTACCCAACAAACCTATAAATAATTTGCTTGCAGTCCCATACTTGAAATGCAGATCACAGTTGAACAAAAAATAATGTGACTCTTGTTCCAAAATATCAAAGGAATCTTATAATATGAGGTAAATAACCTGTGCATGCCTTTACTAGCCTATTGAACACATACGAGAGCATATATATCTTATAAAAGAGTAGTTGACAAAACCTTTTGCTCAGAAAGCAGTGGGTGTTATATTAAGGTATACTAAAAAATTGGTCTAAATTGTGTATATAATGAATATAGGAAAAAATAATGAAAAATATCATTAAAAATAATTTGAAAGAAATGTCTTGTTAACTCAAAAGTGAAACTAAAAATCAACAAATTTGACTGCAATGAAAATCATTAAAAAAAAGTTTATTAATTGCATTTTTTTTACAAAACTTTTTCACTTTTTATTCTTTAACCAATGTCCAGTGCACAGGTGAACATTTATCCTAAAAGAGTAATAAAATATTAAATTATTAAGAATGACTCTTCTAATTTTTAATTACATAAAGGAAAAGTAGAAAAAGAAAAGAGAATTTGTGTAAATTTAATTCTAGTTTAACAGAGACTCTCAGTACAATAAACAATTCCAGGTTACATTGTTTTTTAAAAATATTTGTCAGATAATTAATTTTAATTTTGATGTATTTTTTTTAATTTATCTTGAGAAAAAAAATTAAATTATGCTTAGGGTTCAAGTCACATATAGGTTTCTAATATGATTCAATTATGGTATTAAAGATAGTTTTCATTATTCAATTTCCATCATTGTCCATCATTCGGATTTAAAAAAATTAATTTTTTAAAAGTAAATTATTTGAACAATCATGGAAAGGAAGTTAATTTTAATTATCAAAGTAACCTCTTTATTTCTAAAAACACAATACTTAAAATTAACAATACATATATTTAAAATATAACACAATCCACTGTTACAGATAATTAAAAGTAGCATGCTGAATAAAAAAACAAAAGTAAACCTCAGGGTTGTAATAAGAATTTTTGTTTGTGAAAATATTTTATTTCCATCAATAAAATTAATTACTCTATTTCAATTTACTTCATAGTTTATAAAATTTGTATAAAAAGTGATTTTATTTTAAGTTTAATTTTAATACATTTTAATGTTAAAAAAATTTACACAGTTAACTAATTTAAAATAATTCTAAATATAAAGTTTAAAGAAATTATCATAAATTCAATATTTTTTTTATCATGTTGTTATCCTCAATTGAATGATATGATGTATATTTTTTATATTTTAATTACAATTCTACCTTGCTAAATAAAAAAAGTTTTGGTGTCTCCATCAAATAAACCAATTGTATTATTATAAAATAACCTAAGGGGATTACTTTGCAAAGTTTATTACTTAGTTGGAAAATTACATTATAAAAGTACCAAACCAATTAGTAGGGAATGCACTTGTTTGTACCAGACTAAATAATTTGAAAAGTTCAAATTGATTGATAATTGTGTGGATGTATTACACTCTACAAAATCTTTAGTTTTAGTAGGAGTGGGAGAGGTCACATAAGTTTGAGTTGTGGAGGCTATCCAAAATACTTGTACTTTATTAACCTAAATCACAACTATCCAAAATAACAGCATTTATAAAGTAGGAAACAAACAACTTTAAATCCATCAGCAGTTACAAGTAACAAACAGTGAGATAAATTGGGATAATAACATTGCACCAGGATAGTACTCCAACAATGTTATTGGATGATGTCACGAGTATGTTTAGGGTCTGTCAAGTTCATACTCAGTTGGTATAAACCATACTTATCACAAGGATTAAGCGCTTTCTCCTAATCATATCGTGACTACTATCAAATTCAAAATTAGGGTGTCTGAAAGCTTAAGCTATTAATGGTGAAATCCAACATGGGTAAAGATGGATTCAAGTGAAAATTGTGGTTTATCGTGGTGGGTACTATGCACAAAGATGTAAGAACTAACTTTGAATCACTACGTGAGAAAACTGTTTAATAAATAATAAGTCACTTTTGAAAAGATTAATATGAAAACAGATCTGATAATAAATGATATTTCTGAAATTTTAATTTTCACTGAATTTAATGATTTTATGTCATTCATATAATTCATGTATTAGATAAGATAAAATTTAGTTGTTATTATAAAAGATAAAGGTAATTTAACAAAAATATATTATTTCTTCTGATTTTTTATAAAAAATAAAAAATTAAATCATTATATCAAGAAAAGTAATTAAATCAGTTATATTTTTCATGAATATAAATTTTATTCTAAAAATACTTATAACATTAAATGGTTTAATTAGTAATTTGCATATTTAATGATATTAATAAAAAAATAGCATATAAAAAATTTAACAATTAATACACCTTGAATCTATCATTTGTTTCTTATAATAAGAATTAAAAAAATATTTTATTTTGTCTCTTATAAAAAGGATAGGAGAGAGTATTAATTAAAAAATATCATTTTTCTTTACTTTTGTTCAAAAACTTTAAGTATCGATCAATTTAAAAAATAAAGAATATCTAAGCGACGTTGTTTCATATTTTTATTTTTTATTTTGCTAAGAATTCCTACAGGCATGTTACTTATAGCCAAGTTGATGGTAGAGAAATTAGTTTTATTTCCCCTTAATTTAAATACTCAGATCTTGAACATGGTTTTAATTTTAATATCTACACATGAATAATGATTTAAGTTATTATACTGCAATACCAAGAAGTTGATAAGTAAACACCTCCAGGTGATCTCGGTTCATAGAGCTTGCGGAGGTTCAAATTCTAGTATGGTTGCAGTAGCGTTATATGGGGAATGCATTAGAAAATTAAAATGAATGTTAATCCTTCCCTGTTAGGAACCAAAATTTGAAAAGATGACAGAAAAGAGCTTCCCTTTCCCTGTTAGCAAATAAAAGGAAAGAAAAAAAAACTTTTAATTCTAGTCTGTTTACTTGCAATAACAAAATACCTCCTTACAAGTTACAACCCATGACCTTCCTCCATAATAATGGGAATATCATTTTTGTGTAAATAGAATGAGAAGTTAAAGATGCTGCTAATTACATGGCCAAAAATAAGGTTCTCTCATGCTATGCTAGTTTGGGACAGCTCTCCTATTGGGGTCTTCTCCCACCTGTTGGGTGACGATACCGACAAACTCCATGCTTCCTTATTAATTAACTCTAATTTTATATATTAATTAACTCCTATATATATAATATTAATTTCTACAATAATTTTATCTTACTTACATAACAGATGTATTATTTGATATACTTAATCACGTACTATAAACATTTTTTAAAAATTATTTTATAAATTTATAAACTAACAAAAAAATCATTAGAATTATTCAGCAAAGTTACAACCCAGTCTCTCTCAACCACTGATAAATATTTGTCATGGATTGTACAACACAGCTATGCACTAGAGTGTGCGGTGACATTAGTGAGCTCAATATCCATGGATGACCCTCACCTCCTCGACTTCTCCGATTACAGCATCACAACCACCCCTTTCTCAGACGATGAGTGGAACCTCTTCTCCCCACTTGTCGATTGGGACTCCTTCACCACCCTCATGGACGACACTGTCGTTTCCACTCCAGATCAACTCACCCTCGACCAAGAATCAAGCGTTGTCGTTTGCGACGACCAAAAGGGCCTGCGCCTGGTGCACCTCCTCATGGCGGCGGCGGAGGCCCTCACCACCGGCACCCAGAGCCACCACCTGGCTCGAGCGATATTGGTTCGGCTCAATGACTTGGTCACCCCCAATAGCGGCACCAATAGCGGCACCAACATGGAGAGGCTCGCCGCGTATTTTACCCTCGCCCTCCACTGTCTGCTAGATGGCGCCGCTGGTGCGCACAGTGTAGATCACCTCCACCTAACGGACACACTCACCGCTTTCCAACTTCTTCAAGACATGTCCCCTTACGTCAACTTCGCCCACTTCACCTCCAACCAGGCCATCTTGGAAGCTGTGGCCCACGAAAGACGGGTCCACATCATCGACTATGATGTAATGGAAGGGGCCCAATGGGCCTCGCTCATTCAGGCTCTTTCGTCTAAAAAAGATGGCCCACCTGGCCCGCACCTCCGCATCACCGCACTCTCCAGAACCGGTGTGAATGGACGGAAAGTTTCGTCCATCGGCACCGTTCAGGATACCGGACGGAGGTTAACGGCGTTTGCGGCTTCCGTTGGGCAACCGTTTTCGTTTCACACGTGTAGATTGGACCCCGACGAAAAGTTTCGGGCTTCTTCTCTGAAGCTGGTTCGTGGAGAGGTGTTGGTGTTTAACTGTATGATGCATTTGCCTCATCTTAGTTACCGGGCTGGCGATTCCGTAGCTTCGTTTTTGAAGGGGGCAAAGGAGTTATGCCCGAGGGTTGTGACCCTGGTGGAGGAGGAGGTGGAGCCCGTTGGGGATACGGGCTTTGTGGGCCTGTTCATGGACTCGCTCCACCACTATTCAGCGGTGTTTGATTCGCTTGAGGTGGGGTTTCCGATGCAGAGATGGGCGGGGGCTTTGGTAGAGCGAGTGTTCTTGGGCCCGAGAATAAGGGGGTCGGTGGGGCGGATGTACAGGAGTGGAGAGGAGGAGAGAGGGTCGTGGGTGGAGTGGTTGGGTGCGGTGGGGTTCAGGGGAGTTCCCATAAGCTTCGCTAATCATTGCCAAGCGAATCTCTTGTTGGGATTGTTCAACGATGGTTATAGGGTGGAAAAGATGAGGAACAACAAGTTGGTGTTGGGATGGAAATCAAGGCGTTTGCTTTCTGCCTCTGTTTGGATTTCCCCCTCTTGATTTCTTTCTTTTAATTTGTTCCTTCTTTGTTCCACTCCTCCCCTCCCACTCATTTCTTTTCATCTCTCTTCTCTATTTTCAACCTTTCTTCATGTTTTACTATTCTCTTCTCAATTCCATTAGTTTTTCTTAAATATTAAGAATAATGTTATTTCTATGCAGCCCATTTAAATGTTGCATTTCTTGATGGTATAAGGATACATGAGTTGGACTTTCTATTTTACTCCAATTTTAATAACATTTACATTTTCTTTTGTTAATGAAAAAATCAATAATTAACCTCATATATTTTATTACGTAATGCATGAGTTCCTTAACTTGCTAGGAAAACTACAGTTCTCTCTCTCTTACTCTTGTGTTCTGTATAGATTATTTAAGCCAAGATGTTTACCACTTGATAAGTATTTGGCTAAAGCGAGCTCGAGATTATTGACAGTAACTAGTGCATAGATGTCGTAACTCCTATTTGGATTCACTTCTGTAGATTTTTAAGGTATCTTTAAACACATTCTAAATCTTAATAATATATCAATTCATTATTTTCTTCATGAGAATATATGTTTAGAAAGTCTACAAAACTATATTAAATTGTATTTTTATTTTAAAAATTATAATATTACAATAGATTTTTGTTTGAATGAATTTAACATGAATTCAGATTTGCTATTACAGCATGCACCGTAGAAAGAGCTAGATTCAATATTTACAAGAACCACCAGCTGGTCACAGAACATGAGGATAAATTTCATCATTGTTAGAAGAGTTTGGTTTCTTTTCGCTTCTTTTAAAGTACAAAGCTAGCTTCTTCCTTACTGTCATGCATGCAACACATGCCAGTTGACTATTGCTTTCTCTTTTATTTTATTTTTTATTTTCATTTGATTTGATCCTCTAAGATATAAAACTTCAAATAGTGAATTAACAATATATTAAAAAGCTATATAAATAAGAGGACTTCAACTTTAAAATAGCTTAAAATATTTTAAATAAGTAAGTCACTTAACCTTGTAACATATTCACTCTTTTTTACTTTTGGATTGGACTTACATTTCAAAAATTTTAATATGATATTATAGTTTAGATTAAAAAAAATTGAAAGATCCAAATTTAAAAAAAATATAAAAAAAAAGATATGTGGCATAAAAAATATTTAAGCAAAAAAAAGTGTACAAACTTAGGTAACAAAAAAATATATATGAGATAAATGCTAAAAATTTGAAGTTACAAACTCAAAATAAAAAAGTAAAGAATTAAAAGAATGCAAATGACTTAAGGGAGAGTAATAAGATATCAAGTCGATCACATTGTGAGATATAAATTCTACGTCCATAAACCTCAATTAAATTTAGAGTTTACTCATTTTCCATCACTTTTAGATCGTGTTTACGTTCCAAAAAAAATCTTAATATTGAATATCAAAGCCAAGAAGAAATTGTAGCAAAAATTAATGTATAAATAATTAAAACATTACAGTAGGTTTATTTTTTTTTTTACATATATATGAGATTTATAAATTATATATACTAAAATATAGTATTTTTGAAAAAAAAAATTATGAAAATATAATATTTAAATAGTATAAATACGGATGAAATAACAAAAAATAATGAACTTCAAAAATTTAAAATATTAAAATATTAAAATATTAAAATAAATTAAATTTTGCTAATGATAATTTTTTTAAAAAAAATAAAAAATTGTTAGTACCTTTTTTAAAAAACTTGAAGTACTAAAAAATGTCATTAACAAATTTTGAAAAATTTCTATATTTTCATATTTTTTTCAAAATATCATAAATTTTTTATATATAAAAAGAGCCCATTACAGTACGGTAGTAGGGGAAATGGAGAGTTTGGTAGGTGACATGTTCCTCCTTAATTATATAATTTCATGTGTCAGCCTCCCTAGGAAGATTCCTGGGAATGTTCGATATATAACACACTATTTTGGGTTTGGCATCAAAAGAAAAAGGGTTATATAATTATAATTAATTAAGATGCCCTCATTATAAACCCTATTTTATTTCTTCTTTTGGGATCAGAAGCAACACTTTTGTTTTATCCGTTGTGGTCATTCAAATAAACCACCAAAACGATCGTCAGCCCCACGATAAGCTCATAAAATAACACGTGTTTCTAACATTCTTCCTACAAATTTTGCTAGCAAAAGACAAACAACCCCAATCAAACATGGCCATGAAGCAGTGGCTTACGTTATGCAGATACATAACTATTGTTACATAATTCCAAGCCTCAATGATTCTTCTGCCAAATACAAACATCGAAATATCAACATAATTTGAGTTCTATTTTTCTATTTTTTTCGAGATTATTCACGTAATTTTGATTCAAGAGTTGTAGTTAGCTAAATCTTCCTTAAAATTGTGGTTTTAAAATTAAAACCTTTAATATTAATTATACATAAAGGTTAAATCGTAATTTTAGTTTCTGTATTTAACTTGTTTTTAATTTTTATTTTTGTATGAAAAATTATGTTTTGGTTTTCCTTTGAAAAAAAAATATAAATTGGTCTTGCTATTTATTTAAGTTATACTGTCATTTGTGTATTTTTCCTAGAGATCAAAACAAAATATAAATACTGTGAAGGAATCAAAATAATGTATAAGAATAGGTATTAAAATAAGAAATCTTGTCCATTTTTAGTTTCAATAAACAAAGTCAAAAATTAATTTGTAAATAATTTTTAAATAAGGATCAAAATATAAAATTTTATAACTAAAGAAAATATCAAATATAAGAACCAAATTTATAATTCAACCATACATAAAATTTGCTTAAAGTTGTAACTATAATCTAAACTAATTCGGTGATAATGAGTCAAAAGTAATTTTTTATATATAATATGATTAAATGTGCTGACAAGTTTTAGAAATTTTCTGACAAAAATATCTCTGTAATTTATTTAATAATTAATATATTCTGAAATTGAAATGTTACATTACATTCAATATGTTAAATTTTGTTTAAAATTTAGTCTTTGCAAGAGAAGGAAATTGAAAAACAAAAAAACTGGGATGTCAACCCACCAAATTCTTTCTAATATCTTGAAGTTATTATAATTAAATTTAGTCAAATGTGTTGAGTTTTTCTATTTTTGTAAAAAATAATTTTTTTATGTAAATCAAAATGTAATAACTTAATTATAATAATAATAATAACTTGAATATATTGACTGTTTCCACAATTGTGACAATTTTTATAAAAAAAATTCTTAATTATTGATTACTTCTATTTTTACGCATAATTTTTCTTATTTCTACTTTCTTTCTTTTTATTTTATTTTTCTTATTTCTCTCTTTTTCCGCCCAATTTACATAAAAATGAAGTGTCAGTAAATCATCACCGCATTTAAAAATACTCTCAAAAATCTTTATTTCCAAAAACTATTATTATATTTAATTATTATTGTATTTATTATAATCATTTTCAAAGAAAGTTTCATTTCTATTTTATTTTTTATTATTTCACAAAATATTTTTGAAAGATCATTCTTAATTTTCAATACCCCATAGAGATTAAATTTGTTTCACAAAGTATAAGCTATTTGTACACTCATATTCATTGTTATAATCATTTTTTATAAAATAAGATATTGAAAAATAAAAATATTTTTTACGTCTAAAGAAAATCGATAATTTTATAGATAATAATAAATGAATATATAACCATTCTTAAAATACAAAATTTAATATCTTTCTTACTTGTAATAAAAAAAAATTTAAAATACAAATATAAAATAAATTAAATACAAACCATACTTTGTGAAGTATCTAATTATACTATAATATTTTTAATGAAAAAACGATTGGTGACAACTGCTCCATAATTATCTCTTCGTCTTGAGTCCATTAGAATGATTGCAATAGGATTGACTATTTCTTGTTATAAATCTTCACAGAATTAAAATGATAAAATAGAGAAAAAAGGAAAATTTATTATTATTATTATTAATTTGAATGGCATTGTTAATGACCAATTAATTTCTAATGGATGTAAAACTATATAAAAATTCAAAATTAACCTTTTAAAATATATAAAAAACAAAAATTAAAATTATAACGATTGAAAATATATTTAAATAAATATTGTAATTTTAACATGATTATCTCTTTTATGTAAAGATAGATAAAGTTAGCTTCTGAATACGGCAGCAGAACTTGCGGCACTAATTTACGCGCAAATTAAACAAACGTTAATTTCCAAATGTGGCTGCGTCGTTGATCTAATCGAAAACTCAATTTGGGAAATACATCTATTATTCTCTTTGAACACATCTCCTTTGCCGAATCATCATCCATTTACCCTCTCGATCTCATTTATTTCTCACGCACAACGGTAGTGGCAGAGGTATGAGGTGGAGCATCGTTGATGTAATGTCTCGTAATTGATCTGCGTACAAGATTAAAATTCAAAGATCTGCAACACAAATCCGATCAAAGACAACAACATTGATTTAGGGAGTAGAGCTGAAGAATTCAATGGTGGAACAAAAGGCTAGAGGAAGGGGTAAATTTGGTGGACATCTTGAAAAAGTTCTCAATAATTTCACGTCTTACTTTTTTACAAATTTTTCACTTGTTACTGGTGTCTCGGCCTTGTGGCGGATGTTTCAACGGTGGGAGAAGGTGGTTGATGTTTCAATACCACAAAAGAGTGACAAACTATGATGTCGCTTTGTTTTTGTGTGCTTTGTGGATGTAGCGGATGCCAAGAGTTTAGAAGCTAAGCTTAATGAGGCATGCAAGGGAGAAAACTGTGGGTCCGTGGTGTCTGCGGAGGGCAATGAAACGAGACACTCCTTTGTCACTAGGGCTACAAAGACGTCAGGTAATACATATGCAGACAAACTTAAAGTACCCTGTCTAGATGAGACACACACAGAGGACAAAAGTGGGTGAAAAAGAAGAAACTTTGGGCTCACCTTGAGTTTGAGGTGGATGAGGGGCGGATTGAGGAATGTAGAGGTGCTATGGTCGAACG